AAAGATAGGGAAAGACTCACAGCAGAGAGAAAAGCAGAGGAAAGTCTGTGAACCAGTCCAGGCAGTCACATCTGCGAGCGACAGCCCAGCTGCCTGGAATAAACGGGGTAAGTGAGGGAAGCTGCTACCTGAAGATAAAGGAAAAGGCAACAGGTTTCTCAGACGAAGTTGCACTAGATCAGGCAACCAATAATCTAAGAACTGGGAACTAATTTGAAATGAGCTGGAGATTGGAAAACACAAATGCCTGCTATCGAGCACCCGTTCATGCCCTTTAAGAACAACTACTGAACAGCAGCCGTCAAACCAAAGAGGAGGAGAGGCTGTTTCGGACCAGTGTATGTTTGATTCTGCACAACAGGCGTGCCTGGCTTTATGACCCTCATGGGCCACTGATAAGACTGGTTCCTGATTTACAGGGGTGATCAACAGTTAAGAGCTTTAGTTGGGGAGAATGGGAATTCACATTGCCCCACAATGGTTATCGGCACAAGAGCCGCAATCAGTGCACTGCAAGAGCCCTGGGACCCGGAGGGGACCTCCACAATCACCAAATCAATGCAGCTGGTATCATATACCCAACATAAAGAGGTAATGGAGATTTCAGAACTGCTTTTTATTCAGACAGCAAAACTGGTAACTCCTGATATTTACTGTGTTCAGTAAGCACAGATTTCTGACCAGGGGAAAGGCATTTTAGAGATTACTTTTCAAAAAAAATAGTTCAACTCTAGATTCAGCAAACGGTTGTATTTGGCAGCAGCCTGGATGTACAGGAGACAAAGATGATTCCAGCAATACCCTTCTGTTGCGGGTATCTAAGCACCGCTGAAGCAACTTCTGGAGGGTACAGACAGGCAGATTCCAAACTGAAATGCTGACCAAAGATAAATCAGAATATGGACGAATTCATGTTCACATCACTGGAACAGGTGCGTGTCTACAACCAGAAAGACAGTCAAGTACCCAGAAGTAGCAAAAAAGAGGCACTGGCTTTCAACCAAGAATATTAACATGTAGGAAACTGCCTAAGTAACAGTCGAGCTTTGGTTACGATGGTACTCAAGGAGAAGAGAACAGGGGAGCTGTCAACGTAACATTCAAAAGTCCTGAGAGCTGAAAGATCTTGCCCCGGCTCCTGCATATCCCAAGGTCGTTCCCTGTTCTGTTTCCTCACTACAGATTGTCTCCTCACATGGTCATTGTCACTGGCTGAGAAACAAGAACACTTCCGCAATGGTGGACGGACAGCTGAATGGTAGCAAAAAATACTGATCGCTGGCTACACACGCTAGTAACATTAATGCCAGAAGAGAGCTATCCATCTGGGCCGCAACTTCAGAACAATGGAAGATTTGGAAACATCCTTAACTGCAAAGGATGGAATGCAGAAAATCACATAACACATCAAGATATGAGTGAGCCCCCATGTAGATATACCCCTGTAGGAAATGGCAAGGGCCGGCTGTAATTCTGGAAACAGCAAGTCCTGCAGCGTGTCAGGTAGAAATACTAAAAGAAAGACTAAAACAATCTTGGAATAAGCAGTTCCGTTAATAGCAGTACAAGTTTTGGAAAAGTGTTCCAAAAATGTTACAACCAAATGGGTCTTTTTTTGGTTTGTTTTACAGAGTGATTGTCCTTCAAGGACGCTACCTTGAAGAGAAGCAGCTGGGCCTGTTAGTAGTATTGCTCATTTCGGTAACGTCATTTACAGCGAGTGGGTTAAGTACAGCAAGACTCGAGGAGAGGTGGATAATGAACAGGGGAGGGCTATGACTGAAACAGGGTAGAAGACGACTGTGTCAGTCAGTAGTGGAGGACACATACCTGTCTAGAAATCACTTTGTTTCCAAAATTTAACCTGATGATGCACAAATGTAATTGTTAAACGTGACTGATGTAAAAACCAGCACACCCTTTAAAAAGATGTATCAATATAGTAATAAAGTAGAACATTTTAAAGATCTTTTCCCCACACAAACTCTCACAAAGTATTAAGAAGCCAATGTTAATAGATCTCTATAAGACTGATTGTTCCTAGAAAACATGAAGAGTTTGAAAGTTTTTCTTCAATGCCTCAGGTAATAGAATGCTCTTATAGGTGTAATGATTATTTATCCTAAATATAAAGCTGATTTCTTTGACCAGAAGGGAAAGACAGAACTAGTAGATTTGTTTTGCTGCATAAATTGTTTAATTTACATTATAAGAACCTGCTGTTTATGTGGCGTAAGAATTGATCATCAATTGTCATTACTAACTACTGATTTTTGTAAGTCACTGATGTTTCCAACAAGATGTGACATGCTATTTATGTATTATAAGACACTAGAAAGCTAGCAGACTGGCTTGTAATTTTAAATGTACTAATAGGCCGTATGCAAAATAAAGGAGGAGTTCCCATTACATCTTCAGTTTGAAGACAGCAGGTAACCTCTACTTATGTGTAGTTTTCTACAGTTGTAGTTTTTGTAGTTGTCACATCAATGCCATTCCACTGTTTATATCTGGTGAACACGGTTAATCCTTACAGCCAGCCTCCCACAATGACATCTGAATACTGGTTTTAATGCAGGACCTTTATAAGCACCACAGTTAGGACAATCTTAATTTTAAAACATTCACTTGAAACTTGGACTATTTCCTCCTAAGGAATTCTTCAGATGATTACAAAACTCAGTGGGAGATCCCACTGCTGGATAGCCCCGAGGAAACTGGACCTTGTTTAGCATGAACATCCACAGATTATTTGTAACTGTGGATTATTCAGAACATATGAGTATATTCATAGTTTGTTATTCATAACCCAAGCCTCAAGCACTTTTAAAAAGACTTCCAGGTTACATTAAGCTTACAAGTTGTAACTGAATAGCACTGAGACATTTGGCTGAAGTCATGTGAGGTCAAGGTGAAACTGATACGCAAACTGTTGGTCCTTCTTCACAAGTCATTGCCTGAAACTAACAAAATCGCATTCCTCCCAGACAGGTGAAGCCCAAACATAACGCTGTCACTGTCTGAAGGACACTAAGTGTCAATGAGCAAAAGAATTCAAGGCAAAGTCAGCAATGTCATTAACCCCTATCCTTCATCACTAAGCATGGGAAAACAGGGTGGGGGCTGAGACCGTGTTGACGGGTCGGGGCAGCAGAAGAGCTACCGACTGCACGCAAGCATGCTGCTGGTCAGTAACCTTTGTCTGGCCGAGACTTGTGACTCATCACCATAGTGTGTTCTACAGTTTTATTAATTAAACACTATTGCTGCCTGTTTTCTGTATGATTGTGCTCCTTACTCTGTGTACATACATGTATATTCCCATAGCAACCCTAACTGGCACTAGCCAGCAAACAGGCAAAACCCAAAATCTGTAGATACCCTAGGTCCAGGGTTGAGACTGAACAAGATAGCCAAGGTCTAGACCTGGATACCGGAGAGACTCAAGGTCATGGGCAGAGACTAGAGAGACCAGAGAATGTGAACATACAGTTAAGTCACTGAAAGCATATACATATGTTCCACCAACAAACTTTAAGCAAGTAGGAACAGGATCAGGACACTTCCTCAGTTTCTGTTTTAAGCAAGCGCATCTAAGGGCACTGTCCTCTTGTTTACATGAACCTCTTCATTTATGGTCATGTCTGTAGTACGTGGGCATACGCATGCGTCTTGAGTTGCCCACTGAGCCTTGCTCTTGGCAGGATGTGTGAACAGGGACGAGCAGCAGCCCTGCAGGGGAGGAATGCCCTGTACCAGTCTGTCTATGAGATGTGGCAATCCTTGACAAAATGATCCATTATGGTTCATCTAATTTCATGTGCTACAGTACACATGAAAGCTGCACCACAAAGAAGCCCAAGGACAGTAACTTAACCATTAGATTTTTTTTAATTGTGCTATCCCACTGGCTGCTTTTCTACGGAAAGCCATAGTACCTGTCAGATCCACAGACAGAATGGCAAACAGCTGTCACCTGTGGCTACCTGGAATTCCTCTGACACTTCTCAGTCCTGCAACACAGACATAGCACCTATATCTAAGTGCCTGTATCTACGGCTTTTGTGGAACATCTTCTGTGTAGTTCAAGACAAGCAAAAGTCCTCAAGTACCAGGCAGGTAACAGTTTCCAATGTAGACAGCAATGATACCACTAAGAGGTCATCCAAAGAAGTTCAGTAAAGACCAGAGGTAACAGGGCAGAATCAAACTTCAGATATATTTTAACTCAAGCAGACAAGCTCTTCCCAGTCCCTCAGTTCGGAGTAGTCCTGTGTACTGGAACACGTCTGCCCTCTGACTGGAATGACTTGGTGAGAAGTACAGCAGGTTCTCACATCTCAGCATAGGCACTTTCACGTAGGCTGCACCTTTGCCTGCTGGGGCACATCCGCCTTCGGCTGTGGGCTCTAATAACTCCTACCCTTCACGTGAAGGCAACAATGAATGTAGAAATTTCACTGGAAAGAAATAAGTGATTGCAAGCCCCATCTGCAATGTCACATTCAATGCACAGGTTAGAAGTTACCAGCATTGTTCATGGTGTTACAGAAGACAGATTGAGTGGGGAAACACGACGTGTGGGAGTGTTGTTGGCTGACAATGATGCAGGGAGGAAAAAGGGAGCAGCAATATCTGTGGATGAGGTTTCTCCTTGGTTGCGAAGTTGTAAGATCTGCCGCAACAGGGCCTTTCCTTCTTCTCTAGTCTGAAAACAATTTGTAAAAAACAAAACGATACACTTATGGATGGGTGGTTTCTGGGTCAAATTCAGTATGTAAGCAGTACAAAAGTTATAGTAGTTTGTCATTCTGAAAGGCTGCAAGCTATAAAAACCATCCTCATTTATTTTTTCTTCTGCTACTTAAAAATGTTAAAGCGTGTGACTATTTTTTTTCTTTTTTAAGTTTTTCCTCCTTTACTCATCTGATTTGCATATTACTGGAGTATTTCAGACAGTGTTACCATCAACCACTGAAGCTGTCTAAATATTCCAGCAAAGAGTAGACTGGAGAAGCTTCAAATAAGCTGAATTCAGGTTCCCCAGAGTTCCAGGCAGATTTGTTAAGGACAGACCAAACACCCTGCATTCATGGCTAGTGCCTAACTCCAGGCTGAACTTAAAGATCCAAAATGGCCCACTCACAGGTACAGAGTCGGAGTCACATACAAACCCCAAGTACTATTATATCCTCTGCACTGTCTACATGCAGAAGATGAGGAAAAAAAAAGAAGTTATGTCAATACCATCACTACAGTTTGCGAATCTGTGACCATTTAACCACCTCCTCACCAACAAGATTTTCAGCAGTCTTAAGTCTGCCCAGTGGAGCCTCACATTCTTTTATTTAGAGAACACAAATGAGACATGTTTCAATTTTACCATCTACACCATATTCCACGATTTTAGTCAATCATAAGCAGCATTAGTGATCAGGTATACAACACCACCACTCAGGATGTGACCTGCATGGCAGACAGCCCTCATTCCTTCAATAAAGGATTCCTTCTACTCTGAGGGCAGCCAAGACCAAGGTCAGAGATCCCCTAAGAAAGAAACACCGAAGGCTGCATAACTACTCACATCGTTGAACGCACAGCATTTCTGAGCACATGCTGAGGCTTCATCCCAGAGCTTACACTTGAAGTAGTATTGGGCCAGGTAACGGAAGGCAGTACTGACCTCCACGTGCTCCACCAGCTCCTACGGTGAGGGGGTAAAAAACACCATCTTTGAGCACCTTCCAAGGTAGTTCTACACCATGTTTACTTCCCCTTTTACTCCCAAGATACCATCTTACCCCGCAGGAATAGATATCCTGGATGTATTTGATATAGCACTGAGCTGCCTGTTCAGATTCATTCAGCTGTTCATGCAGCCTAGAAAAGGAGAAAAATGGGCCACTGGAATTAAGACCACACTGTGGGAGACCTTCTTGGTCTATGAGAAAGTACCTACTCAACCCGACCTGGATTGAAGCCAGGTCTTTTCCTTCAGAATTTGCAAGACATGCACCGTGTACTGCCCCCCGTGAAAAGAGATGATCCAGCTTGAGAACATTTACATTACCGGGAAGGGAGCCAGTCAGATACTAACTGCTAGAAGCAATGACAGCCAAAGCAGGGACTTTTCCTTATTCTGTTACACTTTAAAGCTTTTAACAGACCTTTGCCATCCTATTTACTGGCTGTTTCTTCCAGTGCTCTTTCCCCCCCCCACTACATCCCAAAAGTTTTTGGTACAACAGCTTCAACTTTTCACTTGCCCTTTTCCTTCCCCTTCACTTTTTCCATTTTATATTACTTTATCCCCACCAAAAATTAGTGCTGATGTCAGAGAGTTCACATTTATTTCAAATTAGACCCTTTCCCAATGTCACAACCATACACTGGGGAAATTAAATTAAAATAAAATAATAATAAAAAAATTAATCAATCTAAAATTTTGTGCATCACCTACCATCATGGATTGCTTTAAGTTTCAATACAACAAATACAATTGCTAGTGCTGCCTGCTCAACACACCTCCAGATTCAGAGGTCCCCTGCAACCCACATTATGCTACAATTCCCTCTACTTATCCTGAGGGAAACTTAAAGCTAAAGCTGGACACCAGAGTTCGCAGTCACTACAGACCTAAAGATATCAGTTATTACACAGCTCTATACTACTAAACGGCAGTGCCACGTGTTTTACATTTAGTATTTTATCATTAGGTATCTAAGTCCTAGTTGCATTTAACACAACATTGACAGTTAAGTGATAACACATACTCACTTTGCTAGTTTCACCAGTGCCATTTTCTCCACATCTCCCACAGCATAAGCTCTCCAATAGCACTGTCAAGGAAGGAAAGTCAGTCAAGCACAGCACAAAAGTGACTCCAACTCGTGACTCAAGCAAACAAGTTAGAAACAGAAAACAACATGGCTTTTCAGCAAAGGGGCATGTATCATCTGTAGACAACTCTTTATTTATCAGCTGTTCTAGTTACACTGCAGAACTTCCCCAATTGTAAATGCCACAGAAACGGTTTCAATAAGCTCTGTACAACACTCCATATGCATCTGCAGTAACACCGGGTACGCAATTTTGCTGCTACTCCACCTAGTGTCATGGGAGACATCTAATGTCTTACTCCATGCATCAGTTCTCACTTACCTTTTTAGCTTCCACCAACTGATTGAGTTTCTCATAGCATTCTCCTAGAGCAACCAGCATACGAGAATCATTTGGTCTGTAAAAGAGCAATTCCTAGATGTAGTTTAATGGACAGCAAGCTGATCTCAGGGTCGGGTGGGTGAAAAAAAAAAATCTACATCTGGCAGTGTCAGTCATCTTCTCTTACATGAAACATCACTTATACTCCTGACCAGAGCTCCTCAGCATTTAACTGACAAAGCCTTTGTTAATAGTTAACCAACACAACTAAAAGGATTTGGAATAGTCAAACTACACAAATCACATAGCATTGATGTTCTTCTCCCTTCCCCAACTTTGTTCCTGTGTGTAAATTCCTTAGCTAGTAGCAACCACATCAGAGTGAACACAAATAAACATGACTCCGTTCTCAACTCTACCTGAGCTGGTGGGCCCGCCGGTAGTAATAGAGACAGTAAAATGGCATTTTGAGGATTTCATAGGTTTGCCCCAAGCCATACCATGCTCTGTAGTCCCTTTTGTTCACCTCTATTGCATGTCTGTCAAAGAAAGGGAGATGAACTAGTCAGAAAGCAGTCAGGGTCAAAACCAAGACAGCAAAAGACTAAAAAAAACCCCAGAAGAGACTACTTCGATCCTTATGCATGCAGACTCAAACACCATTTTGTGCAGTACGTGAGTGATACCTATAAGCCTGGATAGCTGCAGATGTATTCTTCATTTCCATATACTCATGTCCCATGAGCGTCCAGGCTCCCAGATAACGAGGATTCAGTTTCAAGGCCCTCTGGAAATAGAGTGCTGCTTTTTCATGTTGGGAACGCAAGCTATAATAATTTCCTAAAGCAAAAGTCACAAGATTTAAACAAATAAAAAAACCCCACACACAAACAAACAAAAAACCCAGCAAAGTAGAAAACAGATGAAGGTGTATTATCTACTACCTCCTAACTTAAATTACAGGGAGTCTTATTAAAAGCAGATCTGATTCAAACCTCAAGATACCTAATCGCAGCCTGCTCTCCAATGTTGGTTAATCCTTTCCCAGTTGTACCAATCAATTAAGATCTCATCCCTTTAGCCTTAAAACTTATGTCATGATCTAACAAATTAATTTCCTGGTCCTGACACACAATTACTTCTGTTGGAGTTTCAAGACTATAAAGGGATTCTCAGCTACATGGGTCTTCATAATGGTTTCTTCAACTCCTTTCTGCACTGATAGTATTACAGCAGCTTTTTCAGAGAGAAATGAGGCAAAAGGGTACTCTGACATTTGGTCTGCTTTTTTAGGCTGCCTGAATCTACATTCACCAAGTAGTTTTGATAGCCTTGCTGGCTGATCATTTTCACAACTGTTTCTAAGACTTCCTCGCACAGCCTGCAGACAGCATAGTAAGAACGCGTAAAAGAGACAGCTCTCACCAATTACACAGCAGGTCTCAACACGATACTTGTCTATCTCACAGAGATTGTGAGCCAGGTAGCTCAACTCAGGCTTCATGCTCTAGTGAAACAAAGAAATGAAAGTGATGAAAAAAGGAGCATGTTACAGTTTCAAAGAAAACCAAGGCAGTTAGCAATGCATACATTGCATCTGTTTCATGGAGTTGTGATGCAGAGAGCAGCAGGTGAAAGCCTATATTCAGAGAGGCTACACAGCACCAGCTGCTTTGCCAGTGTTTAACGTACCTCTGATAAATACTGTCATTAAGGACAGGCAACGGAAAGAGGGCTTACCCTTACATATAGCAAGTTGGAGAAAGTGTCCATGTTTTCTATCCTGTAAGGATCTTGTTTCCTTAGCTCGTTAAAAATGGATAAAGCTTTGTCAATATCTGAAGAAAGAGCAGCAGATGGGAGAACAAGAACTATAAATGCCAAGTTCGCATTTAGAGGCTCATTCCTACTTGTTAGTAAGTGTCACTGACCTCGGATATTGTGGTAGGCAACTGCAATCTGAGAGATGATGTAAGTGCTTTTGGAAAATCCTGCATCAATGAGACTCTGATACTTCTGCAGAGCCTCCTCTATCAGCTGCAGCTCTGTATAAATGTGTGCAAGAAAGAACTCTTTCATCCATGTATCTGGCAAGGACAGGAACTTCAACTAGCAAGAACCAAAGAAGAGGAGGAAGAGATGACAATCAGTAGCATTCCAAGAGCCACCTGTGGCAAAGAATCCATTATCTTCCCTCCCATGATTTAGTAGACGGTCTCGAGGTAGGAGGCTTTTCTACAATCGCTTTCTTAAACCATAACACCAGCTGCAGAAGAGCAGTATTAGGGCCAAGAATTAATATCAGGCTCTTCCACAGAAGAGAGTAAATAATGCCTATAAGTTGAGAATATTGAAACAGGGCAGGAGCGTTAAGACATCCAGTCTAAAAAGCAGTTCAAGAAGGACCAGATAATCCTATCTAGTCACTCCCAGTCTATTCCCATGAGTGCTGGAAGTGCAGAAGAATTGAAGCCGTTTCATTTGGTCAATCAGTGAAGACATTATTGTCTTCAAATCTGACAGCACCTGGCTTCTGCTTCAGCCACTAGCCTTCTTTCTCCATTAAATTCAGAAGTCCTTTGAAAAACTGTACTTTCTTCCTATGTTTGAACATCAGTATCATATTGCTATTTTTGATGAGGTAAGCAAACAGACCCCAAATAATCTCATAAAAAATGCATTTCCCTTTCTCCACAAATCAGTAAGGCTCTCTTCTGTGCCACCTCTACTTTTTAAATATTCCACCAGCCAGAATTGACTGAAGAATTCCAGAAGTGGTCTCAAAATCCCATGCATAAAGAAAAACAATCTATTTTGTTTCTATATTTAAGTTCAGTTCTTTGATACAGTTCACCTCATATGTACACCTTTGTATTTGACAGAGGGAACACCTACATTAGTGTTTTCTTTTTAAAAGTAGTGATTCCGTATATCATTTCAGGCCATCAAAAGCGCTTGGTAACTGTGGAACTACAACCAGATTAAGGAAAAAAAAAAAACCAAAAACGTAAGTATCTTAGGAGGCTCTCCTTCATGTGACAAGGCAATAACCCTGCTGACAATTACTGCACAATATGTGAATTAGCCGTTTCTTAAACCACCTTGTGGGTGAATGATAAAAAATTAGCCCTGCCTGTATAAAGATTCTCAAGCTACAGCATGGCAAGCAATTGAAGAAAAAAAGGCTTTAACAACATAGTTTACAATCTTGGATTGCCTTGCCTGACAGCGTCTCACAGAATAAAGCAGTAGACGACATCAGTCTTGTGGCAACTGAACCATTGGTTATTGAATCAGGCTAAACTCTGGAATTTGTTACCGCATTTTGATATCTCCCACATTTTACCATCTCTTTATCCGTAATCAAGTTGCAAAGTTCCAGCCAGGCTCCCCAGTGCAAAGGTAAGACATGGGCAGCTTCAACGAACACATCTATTGCTTCTTTAACCAGGTCCAGCTTCCGCAGCACGACACCATACCTGTAAAGAAAAGTTATCAAGTTAATCAGAATCATAAAGTTCTGCGTATCCACACGAATACATTAGAAAGACAGGCAGACACTTACAAATAAAGGCCAAATCCATCCAGTTCCCGTGCCTTGTGTTTCTTGCTGAGCTCAACTCTCAATTCTCGTAGAGCTTCATTTTTTACCTGTCCTTTTTCCAGAGGTCCTACATGAAAAGAAAGTCAAACAGCTAGCTTTCAATCAAGAGTCTTACACAGCAATTACAAAATCTAGGATGTATTCAGAATCATCACTGACATGACCCGAAGGCTTCCCAGCCTGTGATTATTTTCCTCTCTTTAAAAGAAAATCACTTATTCTGATCACTTGCTTTAACAAAAGAACCAATAGATTAAAATCTGTAACCTGTATTAAGCCAATGAATTGAGAGAGAACGAAAGAAATCATGTTACAACATGCTATTACCCAAAAATGGGGAAAGACATAAATACAAGATGATTTACATGAAAAAGCATTACTGGAAGCTTCATTATAATGTCTTGTGTTTCTTGACACCTGAGACTTACCCAAACTATCCACTGTCTCATCATCCTTCTTCTTTTCTCCTGACTGAAAAACAGAGGAAAATGAAGATTACATTACAACAACATATTCCTTATGTTTGCTGCAACGCTAGCAGCAGCACGCAAACTGAGTTTTCACAAACATCACGGTTCTTAAAGAGAATACCCCTATCTCCCTTCCCCCAGAACATATAATTCAGACTTCTAGTTTGTCATTTGGAACAGAAAAGGCAAAAAATAACGTATGCCAGGGAGGGGTAGGAAGCAGAAAATTTCAGAGCTAAAAGGTGACTTTTCCTTCTACCTTACCAGGTATCTGGAGTACATATACAAGAAGTAAGCTTTCTGACTCTTGCAGCCCCGTAGAAAATAGGCAGCCCTGTCATATTCCTTTAGATCAAAGTAAGACTTGGCTAACGTATAGGCATCCAGATCACGAGCATCCTCCTGCAGGGACACAGAAGAGTTTTAACACCTCAGAGGCTCCAACACACTTTAGGAAAACACCTGGCTACAAACATATCAATGAAATTGTTCTGAAAGCTAAAACTGTAGTTTATTCATCCTCAAAGATGGTTTGAGTACCATCAGAAAAGTCTCTCCATTCCCTAACATGATCAGACTCCAAGTTCTCAAATAATGAGTACAGATTAGTGAGAAGCATTTAAAATAAACAGTGACATTCCAGAAGACAAATTGTGGCAAGCTGCCAGAAGGCACGAATTAGCTGTTCAATGAGTACAAATGACCACAAATAAGAAACTTACTCAGGAATTCCATAAAGAATCATAGAATGGTTTGGGTTGGAAGGGACCTTAAAGATCATCTAGTCCACCCCCCTGCCCTGGACAGGGACACCTCCCACCAGCCCAGGTTGCTCCAAGCCCTGTCCAACCTGGCCTTGAACACCTCCAGGGATGGGGCAGCCACAGCTTCTCCTGGCAACCTGCCCCAGGGGCTCACCACCCTCACAGGAACAAATTTCTTTGTGATATCTCACCTAAACCTCCCCTCTTTCAGTTTGAAGCCATTACCCCTCATCCTATCACTCCATGCCCTTGTAAAAAGTCCCTCCCCAGCTCTCCTGGAGCCCTTTTAGGCACTGGAAAGCTGCTGTAAGGTCTCCCCGGAGCCTCCTCTTCTCCAGGCTGAAAAACCCTAACTGTCTCAGCCTGTCCTCACAGCAGAGGGGCACCAGCCCTCAGATCATCTTCATGGCCTCCTCTGGACCCGCTCCAACAGGTCCATGTCCTTCTTGTGCTGAGGACTGCAAAGCTGGATGCAGTACACCAGGTGGGAGTACAAATCAAATGGTATTAACCCTCTAATTTAAATGCAAACATTTCCTCGGTAGCTATGCCTTGAAACGCATTTATGACATGTTACACTGCTTTTATTTAACAAAACAGGCATACACTTAAAAGTCCTACTGTACACCTACAGAGGTGGGAATGGAAATACAACTGGTTTCTCTTGTATCCTAAGGAGCACAAGTGTAATGGCACAACATAATCTGTATTACAATAAATTTGGACCTTAGTAAAGATGAATAAAAATTAAGGAGCAAGATTTCAAATTTTGCTTACAGAGTACTTCATTTAGGGCACAGCAATGTATAAAATGAAGTTATTTCATCTGGGAAAGCTCTGTCCACCCCATTAGACACAGAGCGGACGGACCTTCACAGCACTCCAGAACGCTCGGCACTCATGGCAGCCGCCTCCGCCAGTTCCTAAACCCATCGCTATC